AATATGAATGAAACATTTTTCAGAAATGATTTTCTTTATAATGTTCTTCTTATGTTTTACAGATTTAAATATTTCTTTCCACAGGGAAAAATAACAAGTATGGGACTTACTGGCTCCAGCTGCTGTGCCTGCTATTGTTTCTAGTGATTAGGATAGGCAATTTTTTCCTGTGGACTTGATTTACCTTTGATCCCTTTTTGTAAGTTGTAGCCAAGGAAATCATAAATAGTAGATTTAAAAAAGATTAGAAAATCACAAGATTGCAGTTAATTAAATAATATAACACATAATTGCATTGTTTTTTAGAATTTGATTTGGACCATTTTAGCTTTGTTTGAACTCTCTTTGAAAAGGGCTGCCAAGTAGAAGTGATGGTTACTGTTAAAAGTGGGCATTGTGGAACAGAAATTAGCAAAAAACTGAGTATTTTTGTATTAAGATCAAAAACTGATTCTGAGAAATGCTGTGCTACTTTAATTTGGTATGGTGTGAACTGCGAGAGCAGTCAGAATTTAAAGAGAGAAGATCCTGATACTTCCTTAACTTCTGCAAATGGCTGTTTTGCCTTAAATTATCTTAGATTTGCATTGTATTCAAAATATACATTTGGTCATTTATGGAGGGCCCCTAAAGACTGAGATTATATTGTAACTCTGCATTTGTTTGCCCTCAAGTGTATATGTATACTTAAACTACTGTTGCATTTATGTATGTTTCTTTCATGTATGTGTTTCTTTAAAATTACCCTATTTTGCAATAAAATAAAAAGTAGAATAGTTGAATGTGTGTAGAGGCTTCCTAATGTTTCCTTTGTTTTCTATCTGACTTCACTGTGTGTGTGGGAGGGGTAGGGAGTTGCTTATCAATGCAGAGAAAAATCCAGATTCTTCATTCATTTTAATTTTGATATTGACGTTAGGTGACATTTGAGAAAGTAGTGTGATCATGCCCCTGGAAGGCATTTATGATTTCTGGAATGTGCAGGTTCCCCCCCCCCAAAAAAAAACCATTTAATGTATTACCCTGGTCTGAATATGAATAAAATTAACTCTACGGATACATGAGTAACCAGGTATATGTTTTTTTCCTTTTGGAATTGTGAATGTGCTCATTGGTTTACAAACATAAAAAAGAAAACTAGGGCTCAGTGGTAGAGCACTTGCCTAGCAAGTATGAGGCACTGAGTTCGATCCTTAGCACCACATAAAAATCAATAAAATAAAGGCATTCTGACCATCTACAACTACAAAAGAAAAAAGAAAAAGAAAGCTAATTGTCTTACTCTGAAGTAATTAAATTCTCCATTTATTTTGGGGTGGGTGGGTGAAAAGGTTGAGTTCTTTTCCTACAGAATCTATATAACACACACACACACATACATATACACACACAGACACACACACACACACACACACACACACACACTTTTTTTTGAAGAGTGTGGGTTGGTTTTTGTAGTGCCAGGTATTGAACCAGTTGCCTTTGGCATGCTAGCAAGCTCTCTACCACTGAGCCATACCCCTGGCCCCAGGATCTATAAATCTGATTAAAACCTGCCTTGCCTATGTCTTATGGACACTTTAAAACCTGCATTTAATATTAATAAATACCTTCATGAGAGTAATTATGGAGATGAAGTTAAAATTTTGTCCATAGTATTCAAGAATTTAAATGGAATAC